TGTCTGCGAGATTGTCTTCCCTCCCTCCATTCCTGATGCCTTGTAGAGTGTGAGAGTTAACCCTTGAGGGCTCAGCCAATTGCTAGTTCATCATTTAGCAGTAAGGCATTCCCTGGGAAATATCCCACCCTCTGACTCCTCCACCTCAACCAAGCTTCACAATCATCATTGCTGTGTACCAGTATTAAATTGTTTGTTTAAAACTTATACTGTGTGTGTATATACATACAGAATATAGTCTTTTGTCTGGTGAAAAAAATTTCCCTGGAACCTAACCCCCCCATTTACGTTAATTTGCTTAACATCGTTTCTCTTAAAGTCGCATTTTTCAGGAACATAACTGCAGCGTTAAGGGAGGAGCTACTGTACTGACTAAATTTGAGGAACACTGCATGCCAAAAAGGAATGAGACCTTTGAGAGACACAATTTTTTTACATGCCTGCAAAAAATCGATTATATCATAGAGCAATATGTCACATAATTAAGGAAACTCAGTAAAACCTGCAACTTTGGTGAGTTGACTGGTCAGAGATAGAATCATTTGTGGCATTAAAGACAAGGTGTTAAGAGAAAGACTGCTCTGTGAAGGAGACTTGTCACTTTGGATGGGCTATTACCAGCAGGAGAGTGAGTTTGTGTGTGGGGGGGCGGAGGGTGAGAAAACCTGGATTTGTGCTGGAAATGGCCCAACTTGATGATCACTTTAGATAAGCTATTACCAGCAGGACAGTGGGGTGGGAGGAGGTATTGTTTCATAGTCTCTGTATGTATATAATGTCTTCTGCAGTTTCCACGGTATGCATCCGATGAAGTGAGCTGTAGCTCACGAAAGCTCATGCTCAAATAAATTGGTTAGTCTCTAAGGTGCCACAAGTACTCCTTTTCTTTTTGCGAATACAGACTAACACGGCTTTTACTCTGAAACTTTAGAACAAGCTCTCCAGATATGCAGGGCAGCAGAAACTGTGAAAACACAAGCCAGAGAGCTGAATCCACCAGAGGGAGCTATCTGTGTACTAAGTACAAAAGCATATAGCCAGAATAAGTCAAATCAAAGAGTGGAACTACTCACGATGAAAACCAGTGCAAGGGGGAAGGCTGAGTACAGACGGTCATGGGGAAGGTGTGGATCACAGCATGGCCCCGAACAGTGTGTTGTCTTTGGGAAACTGTCATAAATGTGGGGGAAATAATGATTTTGCAAAATGCAGCAGATCTCAAATGCAGAAAAGTCAAGAACAATGAGGAGTACAGTGGCACCTTTAAGACTAACAGATTTATTTGGGCATAAGCTTTCGTGGGTAAAAAACCACTTCTTCAGATGCAAGACTAACACAGTTAGTGCACACAGACTAACACAGCTACCCCTCTGATACTAGAAAAGTCAAGCACATTCAGTTGAAAACGACCTGGTTGGGGAGTTTTTCATAGATGTACTGGAATCTAGAAAGCCTGATGAGAGGGACTGGATACTACTTGTGACAGTGAATGGAACAATTATTCCACTGAAGCTGGACACAGGAGCTCAGGTTAATATTCTGTCAGAACAAGATTATGAGAGACTGAAAATAAGACCAAACTGGGACCAACAAAAATAAAAGTAACTGGTTATTCTGGAACAAATATACCAGTGAAGGGGAGGTGCGTTGCTAGCATCAACCATAAAAACACTGTGTGCAGGCTCCTGTTCACTGAAGTGCCAAAGAAGGTGACACCAATTTTAGGCCTGGCTGCGAGTGAAAAACTCAATCTGGTAAACCGGGTGTTCTCACTAAATGATCATACTGAACCTGGTTATGAGGCACTGTTTTGGGAATATCATGATTGGTTTCAAAGGTTGAGTTGCTTGCAGGGTGAACATATAATCCAGATAAACAAGCAGGTCCCTCCAGTTATCCATCCATTTCATAAACAAACTAGAGAAATACAACTAGATGGAGCTACTATAAAGTGGGTCAAAACTGGTTGGAAAACCATTCCCAGAGAGTAGTTATCCATGGTTCACAGTCATGCTGGAAGGGCATAACAAGTGGGGACCCGCAGGGATCAGTTCTGGGTCCGGTTCTGTTCAATATCTTCATTGATGATTTAGATAATGGCATCATAGAGAGTACACTTATAAAGTTTGCAGATGATACCAAGCTGGGAGGGGTTGCAAGTGCTTTGGAGGATAGGATTAAAATTCAAAATGATCTGGACAAACTGGAGAAATGGTCTGAAGGAAATAGGATGAAATTCAATAAGGACAAATGCAAAGTACTCCATTTAGGAAGGAAGAATCAGTTGCACACATACAAAATGGGAAATGACTGCCCAGGAAGGAGTACTGCGGAAAGGGATCTGGGGGTCATCGTGGACCACAAGCTAAATATGAGTCAACAGTGTAACACTGTTGCAAAAAAAGTGAACACCATTCTAGGATGTTTAAGTATGAGAAGTAATTCTTCTGCTCTACTCCGTGCTGATTTGGCCTCAACTGGAGTATTGTGTCCAGTTCTGGGCACCACATTTCAGGAAAGATGTGGACAAATTGGAGAAAGTTCAGAGAAGAGCAACAGAAATGATTAAAGGTCTAGAAAACATGACCTATGAGGGAAGATTGAAAAAATTGGGTTTGTTTAGTCTGGAAAAGAGAAAACCAAGAGGGGACATGATAACAGTTTTCAACTACAGAAAAGGTTCTTAGAAGGAGGAAGGAGAAGAATTGTTTTTCTTATCCTCTGAGGATAGGACAAGAAGCAATGTGTTTAAATTGCAGCAAGGGAGGTTTAGGTTGGACATGAGGAAAAACTTCCTAACTGTCAGGGTGGTTAAGCACTGGAATAAATTGCCGAGGGAGGTTGTGGAATCTCCATCATTGGAGATTTTTAAGAGCAGGTAGGCAAACATCAATTTTATAAAGTCATTACATATATAGGATGAAAGATAGGATATGTTACCTTGACCTTCATTTCCATAACGTACAATGTGGTTTGCTAGAAATGGATCGAATTCTGCGACAACCTCAAGGGCTATCATGTAATTGCCGTGGTGATCCAAATTTTTCCACCTTATCTCTAAATGCAAGTCCTCTGCTTGAAAGTTTCTTTACCACTACTACAATCCTCTTCAACACATTTCTCCAATAAATAATGTCTTCTTCCATTTGAAATTTTAAATTCGTATCAATTCTTCCGGATATCTCGCCTCTCTTCACCACTGTCAGTGCACACGTTTTATGTTCAGTCGAATTTTCATGTTCACATAGTCGAGCTGATATGTTTTTCCAGTCCTGGAATCCACTCGTCGCCAGACTAGAGATCCCTCTGAATAATCGACATGGGGCCCAAAACACGGCTCCTTTGCTCTCCGAATATACAAGATATTGTCGTGGCTTTACTTCACCGTTTAAAAGATGTCATTCAAACACATTTTTTGTTAGAACATGCATTTTATCAGTATATTGTCTTTTTGAGTTAGTAAAATCACTATCAATATTCGCAAAAAGAAAAGGAGTACTTGTGGCACCTCAGAGACTAACCAATTTATTTGAGCATAAGCTTTCGTGAGCTACAGCTCACTTCATCGGATGGTGTTTAATACCATGGGTTGATAAATACTCAATTGTAGCATCATTCAATATCCATTCGTCGTCACTTATGGTAGATATTTCAGTGTCACATTGAATTTCTGATTGACATGATTCACAAATCTCTGCAGTATTGTCAAAGATATCCAGATCAACATGATAAGCGGTAGTCTCTGATATGCTCGTATTTGGAGCATTTTCTTCAACACTAACCGCAGCCGGAATTTCTTCCTTAGATTCAATATGTACTTTAATCACATCAATATTTTCAATATCAACACCAATATTTCCACTTTTTACTTCACTGCTACTTTCAAGTATATATTTCAATGTGTCTCTCTGTTGGCACTAACTGATACAACAAAGGAATCCATTTTGCGCATTTTTGCTGTCATTTCATTTTCCCTTTCTTTCTTTTGTATAGAATTTTTTTTGAACTGAGAACTACTTAATTTCTTCCTTCCATTCATATTGTTAATGCTTAGGATTGTCGTGAGCATGTTCTTTACTAAAGGGCGTTGCGCCGTCCTGGGTGGTTTCAATACGTGCTGTGATATGTAGAATCGCGGCGCACAGCACTGATGCCACGATTACAAAAATGCAGCTATTAAAAATTTGCCGCCCCTGCAAATTTGCCACCCGAGGCCTAGGCCTTGTCGGCCAAGGTGATAATATGCCGCTGACAGGGAGGAATGTGTTTTAAGGGTTACAGAACTGACTTTTGTTGGGGACATTATTTCCAACAAAGGTGTACAACCTGATTAGATGAAGATTTCAGCCACTGAAATGATGCCACGTCTGCAGTCAAAGAAAGATGTCCAACAGTTCCTGGGAATGGTTAATTATTTTGGAAAATTCATCCGTAATCTATCGACCAAAGCAGCGGCTTAGAGAACACTCCTAGAGAACAAAATTGAATGGTGTTGGGGTGCAGAACAGGAGGCATCGTGGGAAGGTTTAAAACAACAACTGATAAAAGAGACAGTGTTGACGTTCTATGCACCAGGAAGGCCTATTTAAATCTCAGCAGAAGTTTCACAGTCTGGCATAGGTGCAGTGATTTTACGGAAGCATAAGGATTGTTGGCAACCAGTGGCATATGCATCCAAATCACTGTCTGAGGCAGAACCCAGATATGCACAGATTGAGGAGGAGCTTTTAGGAATATTGTTGGCCTGTGACAGGTTCAATCAGTATATTTGTGCCCAGACAGTGGAAGTTGAAATGGACCACAAGCCCCTGATAGCATTATTTAACAAACCGCTAAATGACTGTACCTTAAGGATTTAAAGAATGATGATAAAGCTGTAAAAGCATGATGTGGTTGTGACCTACACACCCGGTAAATTCATGTTCACTGCAGATGCACTTTCCAGGATGGTGACTCCCACTACGAAACCAGAGCATAGGCGCCGACTTCCCCTCTTTCCCATGGGTGCTTGGCCCCCCGTCTACTCCCTGAAAGACCTGAGACTTGCTAACCTGCCTGGAGAAAGGCTATTGAGGAAAGTGAATGGTAAAGATTCACTCCAGAGTGATGTGCTGGTAACCTCTCCTCTCTAGATTGTTGACACACTGGGTTTATGGTAACACACTAGATGGGTTGAGAATATAATGTGTGTTATTAGATAGCTGTTAGCTGTTTTATATTCGTATATAAGAACTACTGAGTTTTTGTTGTTGTTTTTTAAGGGGGAAGATGTAGAGATATGTTTGTGGAAGATTGTCATTTAGAGAGGCTCCCCCATAAGGGACAGTATTATAAACACAGGAATTTAGAGATATGCCCTGGAAACTGGGGTGGAGAACACTGTGTCGCTTTGTACAGCAGTTCACCACAGAAGCTCCCTAGTTTGTTTTATTAAAGGTTTTATCCTTTCTCATTCACTGGTTTGTTGTTTAATGAACCCCAATATCATTACATAGGATGCATCTGATTCTCCCCATCCCTCCCCCTAGGTCAGAGGCATTGTGGACACCAGCCAGATCTTTGGTCTGAGCAAGACCGAACCCGGCTACTTAAGCTACTTTGCCCCCTACGATGGGATTTTGGGTCTGGCCTTCTCCAACGTCTCCTCCTCTGGAGCCACACCAGTCTTTGAGAACATGATGACCGGGGGTTTGGTGTCCCAGGACCTCTTCTCTCTCTACCTGAGCTCATAAGTCAAGGCTAGAAACAGCCCATCTGTCTACAGCAAGATTCACATTCCTATACCGCCTCTCACAGAGCGATCCCTGCGATGTTTGCATCAGAATTCCCAAACACAGCCACCTCTGGGGTGGAACGTGGCAGCCATTCTGTGCTTGTGCCATATGTTTTGGGGAGCAGAAGTGAATGACAATATCTCTAATAACAACTGCAGGGGAAATTAACATTAGGAAGAATCTAGTTACTAGCTATGACTGGAAAATGGGTCCCCCCCCCCCCAAGAAAATTTCTATTTTCCAGCAAAAAATCAAAAACTGAAATAATTCAGTTTGTAAATATTGCCCTGGTGCTTGGTGGGAGTTTGAATGGGGGTGTCTCCTGCTCCCAGTCTCCTGTATAGGCTGGAGTCCCTGGTCAGACTACACTGCTCATGGTGCCCCACTGTCCGACCTCATGGTGGAGGAAGGGTGTTGCGTGATGTGAAATGCACCAGTCTGACTCTCTCCTCCATTGAAGTGTTTGTCATTCTCTCTTTAGCCAATAATTCATGCATCTTCCCTGACTCTCCTCTCTCCCTTCTCGTGATGTTCAGTGGCATCGACTCATCTTACTACTCTGGGAGCCTGAACTGGATCCCTCTCTCCTACTGGGAAATCACCATGGACAGGTATCGCCCACCCCTTGGCCATTCCACCTGGGGGCTATTGGAAGACAGGTCAAATGTTAATGAATTGTACATCGGAGCCAGGGGAAGCTCAGCTTTCAGAGTCTAGACAAAATGAGAGACAACGGAGCCACAAAAACGCCTTCCATGGAGCCATAGGAATGGGACTCCCCTGCTAGGTTAGGTCAGGTCAGTGATTCTCAACTTTGTTCATACCAGCACCCCCTCCCATCTGTCCCGCTCTGCTTCGCAGTATGGGAAGGGCAGGGTAGCTGGGACCGTCAGTCCCAGAAGGCTGTAGCATAAGGAGCGACGGGCAGTAGCCATGGAAGAAAAAGTCTGGGATGAGACATCAGAGCAAAGTTCTTGGTAGTCATAGCAAAGGGGCAGTGGGGCAGCTCCACCCCGCAGGTTTGTCCCTGGCTGCTTGTGGGCCGAGTGGGGATGAGATCGGGAGTGTTCCTGGGGACATTCCCCTGACTCTCTCTCTCTTCCAGCATCACCATGAATGGCCACCTGATCTCTTGTGCTAATGGCTGGCAGGCTATTGTCGACACCGGCACCTCTGTGCTGGCGGGGGCCCCCATGGCCATCTCCAAAATCCTGCACTACGTTGGTGCCCGCGGGATCTCCAGCAACCTGGTCAGGTCAGGGAGGAGGGATGGGTGTTTCTAGGGGCATCTGCTACACACGCGTGTGGCCGAACCCCTGATTCCACTGCCACTGCCCACAGGCTGCACCCAGCCAGCATAGGGATCAGCTGGGTCACTCTGCAGATTCCCTGGTGCTTCCACCCACTGGTAACCCATAGGAACACAGGGGAGGTCACCGTCCCCAGCATGTGGCCAGGCCAAATATAGAATCCGGGACCGTCTGAGCTGACAACATTGGTCCTTTGGTTCAATCTGCAGAGCCTCAGGCTTTCAGAGCCAGAGGTTCAATCCCTGGAGAGGATCCAGTCAGGCAGTGACCCAGCTCATTTAGATCCCACTGCTAATTACATGCAGCTTTCCCTTGTTGGAGAGTTGAGTGCTGAAGCCGTGGCTAACCTGGCTCCTGGATGTTGCTTTTCTCCCTACAGATCAGCTGCAGTGCCAAGCACACCCTGCCCGACATCATCTTCACTATCAATAGCATCAGGTTCCCTCTGCCCGCCACCGCCTACATCCGCCAGGTAAGTATCTAAGTCGGGGCCTCTCAGCAAGGGCTTGTGCCTGAGGCTGCAGGACCGTCACTGAAATGCAGCACAGAGTCTGGCCTTAGCATGGGGGGAGGGGCAAGGAGCTCTCCCCCAAAGAGACTGCACAGGCAGCCTGTAGAGCTGGCTGCCCCAGGAAATCACCATGCCAGGGGGCTTACTGGGATAGGAGAGGGGTTAAATGAGCAGCTACCCCAGCTAGGAGGCTAGCTCAAGAGAGTTCACTGCCTTGCGCTCCAGGGCTTGGGCAAGTGGGTTTCAAGAATGAGTCGTCTTCCCCCCTGGACAAAACTTTTCCCCTCTCTGGTGTGGAACTGGTGAGCTGTTTCAAAAGGCATGGAAAGGCAGAGAAGAAGCCCCAGTCCAGTCATAATCACAGGGGGGTTAGGGGAGCAGAATATAATTGCTCCTGTTAGAATTTGCCTAGGCCAGTGGGGAGAGCACCTTCTGTCTTACCAAGGGATTTCGAAGGAGGAGAAGTGGTTGGTGTGGAGCTGGGAACTATATCTCCAAGTGGTTTAGTTTCCTAGACAGAACGGCTGACGGAGGAGCACTGCTGATTCCCCCATGCTCTGTTAGGCAGAGACAGTTGGAATGGGGTCGCTCAACAAAGAGGATCTCCCTTAAGCACCTGGAGCCCAGAGTGATTCCTGAACGCCCAATGGTACCAGGATTAAATAGCAATTCAAGAAAATACCTTGAGTGGAGAAATGGAGCAGCTCAAAATTCCACCAGAGCTGAAGCTGGCTGGAAATACGGAAGGCAAGTGGAAGAGATTTAAACAGGGCCTTGCATTGTGTCTGCAAGCAATGGGTGCCAGTGAAAAGGGAGGCAATCAGATGTAGCCTTATTTCTGACCAGAGCAGGTTCTGGTGCACGTGTCTTTAAAATTTCAGTTAAGTCAGACTAACTATGAAACTGTTTTACAAAGATGTAAGGAGTACTGCACTCTGCATAAAACTGAAACTTATGAGACTTTAACCTGAGGTTCCAAAAGGAAAGTGAAACTAGAGTAGAATTTGTTCCTGATCCAAAGCTGGCGAACCAATTTTGCAGGTTTTTTTAGGGGGCAGAGCGGGGACTAACCAAGTCCCTGAGAAGAGACCACACTGTGACTGGAATGCAGAACAAAGCAAGGAGACCCAGAATCAACCCTTCACAAAGCGCTCCAAGTCCAAGCACTCATGGAGGATGGACAGAGCTCTGACGCTGCAGGCATGATTGAGAATCCAAAATGTTGTAGGAAACCCGAAGAAGAGCTCTGTGTATCTCGAAAGTGTCTCTCTTTCCCCAGCAGAAGCTGGTCCAATAAAAGATATTACCTCCCCCACCCTGTCTCTCTAATAGGAAACCTAAGGCAGAAACAACAAGGATTCCGGTGGCACCTTAAAGACTAACAGATTTATTTGGGCATAAGCTTTCATGGGTAAAAAAACACTTCTTCAATTTTTGTGGATACAGACTAACACGGCTAGCCCCGGATACTAAGGCAGGAAGGCACACGAGCTCAGGCAGAATTAGGGAAGAAGGGCAGGCAATGCCTGGCATATCAGAAGAGATACAAGAACTGCCATTAATTCCATCGCTTTGCAAGAGTTTTCCAGCACCGGCAGAGTGCGCGCAGCCTGGACAAAGACGACGACGACAGTACCACGAGCTCAGCTGTATGTTTCATAGGAGCAATGGCTACCAGTGCAGCAAAAGATGACCTGGCTGTCACAGATCGAAAGCAAATGGGAGGTTTATTAATGTTACGTTGGACACTGGTGCACAAGCCGATGAGTTGCCACAAATAGTGTTATCGACACTAAAAGAAAAGCCACAGGTAAACTCAGGGCTTATAGCAGTGAGCTTATCCCCAACAAGGAGTATGTGAACGAGACATATGGGTAAATTGGGAAAGCTACAATGTGGAATTGTACCAGGGAAAAGCACACCCATTACTGGGTTAAGTGTGTCTCATCAAGAGGGTGCAAAGGGTTTGAGGACATCTTCCAGGGGAGGGAGAAGCTTTCAGCAGAGTACAGAATAGAGCTGAAAGAGCCCAACCACCCCACAATTCATACGCCAAGGAAAGCTCCCCTCACACTAAGGCAGAGGCTGAGAAAACACAGACAGAACCCTTTGCTTATGCATAACCTCAAAAAAATTAAATCTATTAAAAAAGTGGACGTTTTTCACTACTACAGGAAAGACATTTTGGGGGAGATGGCGGGTGCCAAGTGTTTCTCTACACGGGGTGCGTCACAGCAGGATTCTGGCTGGTGCCCTGAGAAGGACAGAGTACATGTTTGTTCTCCTTCAGCATCCCCTATGGGAGACACCATTTCCACAGAGGGACACCTGGCTACCAGTGGTAGCAGATGACAGAACAAGGAGCAATGGTCTCAAGTTGCAGTGGGGGAGATTTAGGTTGGATATTAGGAAAAAACTTTTTCACTAGGAGGGTGGTGAAACACTGGAATGCATTACCTAGGGAGGTGGTAGAATCTCCTTCCTTAGAAGTTTTTAAGGTCAGGCTTGACAAAGCCCTGGCTGGGATGATTTAATTGGGGATCGGTCCTGCTTTGAGCAGGGGGTTGGACTAGATGACCTCCAGAGGTCCCTTCCAACCCTGATATTCTATGATTCTATGATTCAGCACCCGCCGTGCTTCACTGGAAAATACAGCACGCTGTTGATGGTACAGAGGGTGCCATGGTTTACGCAGGCGATGTTCTGATCTGGAGAAAACCAGCAGAACATCATGACCAGAGGCTCCAAGCAGCTGGGAAAGAGCCAGAGCTGCTGAGCTAAAGCTAAAATAAACAAGCATCTAAATTCTGTGTAATGGAAACAATGTCACTGGGCAAGAAGTTAGTCTAGCAAGGGACACAGGTGGATCATGGTGAGGGTGAGATCATCACCAACATGCCTGCCCCAACATACAAGGAAGGGTACAATGATTCCTTGGAACAGTGAACTGTCTACGGAAATTTGTGCCCAAGCTAACAGCTCAAACAAGCCAGCTGAGAGCATTACTGTGCAAAGACATGCAATGCACCTGGGGTGCAAATCTTCATAGAGAGTTTGAGACAATGAAGGGGTTAAAAAGGCCCCAGTCCTGTGAAACTCTGACAGTAAGCTCAAAACTCAGTTGTCCATGGACATCTCTGAAAAAGATATTGGCACAGTCGTCCTACAGCAGGATGGTCAGAACGGGAGACCAGTGGCTTACGCATCACGGGCACAAACAAAACTGGAGTGTCCATACTCTCAAAGAGAGGAGGAGACTTTGGATTTTTGTCCACTGGTGTAAAGAGTTTCATGTCTTTATTTATGGAGGCCAGCGTTCCCTGAAATGGACCAGAAACCACTTATTGCCATTGCCAAAAGGGGCCTGGGAACCATCCCACCACCCCCAGGAATACAAAGATTACTTTTTCAGCTGCAAAGACAGGATTTGCAAATCCAATACGAACCTGGGGGAGATTTGGCGGTCTCAAACATGCTCCCTACAGCATTTGACAAGACAGCCGCGGAGCAAAGTCCAGAGCTGTTCTACATGTCAGTTTGGTTAAAAAGCCAGTCCAGCCTCAGACAAAACGTGCATTGCGATCGCCAGAGTTACTGCTTAGGACGAGATGCTGCAGAAAGTGCTTAAGGCTATTAGCACGTAGTGACCGTGACCATGCGTTCCCAGCCCCTCTCACAGTTCAGGGGGAAGCTCTCAGTCCTAGATGGGATTTTGTTTAAAGGCACCAGGACGGTGATCTCTGAGCTACTGCAGAAACACATGTAAAAAAGGAGACATGACGGTCATTTCATGATTGAAAAATCTAAGCGAAGGGTCAAAGACATTTTACACTGGCCTCAAACGAACAGCAACATTGAGGAACTGTCAAGGCTTGTCATACATGCCAAAAATACAGGCATAGTCAAGCAAAATCCTATGTTAATGGCAGAGGAAAAATTTTCCCCCTGGAGTAGAAATTCGTCTACATTGGCTGGAAAAAAAAGACTATGTATTTGTCCTAAACGACTAGTCTCACTTCCCTCAGGCAGCCACACTAAAAGGTACTACAGCTAAACAGTTGATTGTGCATCTCTATTTTCGCGAGGCATAACTCTGAGCCACAGCTGCCATTGTGATGTCTGACAACGGGCTTCAGTTGAGCAGGCATGAGTTTCAGCAGTTTGCGGTGAAGTTTGGGTTTACACATGTGGAGAATATGGAAATGTCTGTAATATTTATAGGAAAAATATGCATGACTCAGTTTCCCCTACTTACTTTTTATTGCTAGGCACTGGGCCTGGAGGAGTTAATTTCTTCTTGGAAACAGGGGGAATAAGAGATGGCTGCTGGTCACAGAAGCCTGCCCAGGTTGGCATGAATGAACTCTCAGGAACTGACCGCATAGCAATGGAGTGCCCTGCGGAGATCATGGAAGACCAACAACTGGGCACTGACTGGCAGCCAAGAGAAGCGGAACATGTGACCACAGTGGAACTGCACCTGGAGGCGGGGGCAGACTGCTAAGCAGGCTGCTCCGAGTTCGCAGAGATTACATCCACGAGGCTATGGAAGAGGGGGCAGGTGATTCCACCAACACAGATTTAGAGTTAAATTGTGCTGTCCTAGGCTAATCTACGGCCTCCTCAGCCCTGGATTCCAGGTGACTAATGAATGCTGGATTGTTTTGAAAAGGCAGCACAGCAAATCTCTAATGGTCACATTGCTCCCAAAGGGGTAAAATCTCACTCATTTGGACTCACCGGAGAACCCTGCTGAGAATCACAGGGTCTGAATCCAGAGGGCCTGGTCTTGGAGTATTGGAACCATGGGGGTTGCCCTTGAAAAATTGGGGACCTAGGGCCTAGTACTTTAAGGGGCACTCCCAGAGAGTCAGTATAAGGTTTGGAGGCATGGCACACCCTGTGAAAACCACGCTAGTCCCCATTATCCCACCTCCAATAGGATGGTGAGGTGAAAAATAGTGTTAAAATAACCAAGGGCCGAGAAGTCAGACTTTGAGCCATGCTTAGCACAGTTCAGTTACAGGATGGTACCAATGAACATGGGTTGCTACCTGCAGACATGTGGTTTAACAGAATGCTGACAAGTAGAACGCCTGCAACGACAGAATCTGCTGTCCCAGGAACTGGGGATTTGCAGAAGAATAAAGAGAGACAGAGACAACTAAAAAGAAGCCAGATGATTTGAGATCCCAGGAGCTTCCACCAAATCGTGGACATGATGCAGCACGCATCTGTAATAGAAATCAATGGCCACCAACAGCGGTGAGGTCACGTGAGGCTGCCCTGAGGTTGTATGAGGCGGTCACCCAAGACGGACACATACTGAGGAGGAAGAACAGAGGAGGAACATCCAGAAGGGAGGGAGGAGGGGTGCTGGGTTTGCAGCTTGGCCTGAGACAGTCTCAGTTAGGCAACAAATACAGCAGGTGGAGACAAGCGAGCCCCAGGACGTACCACTATGGAGCAAAATGGACTGACTGCCTCCTGACAGCAGTAGCACTGATGCAGCCAGGGAGATCGGCAGGTCCTAGCTAGAAAGAAGGGCACCTCGGAAATCAGTGGAGCGTTACTAGTGGTTGGTTATAAGTATATGGAATGGAGAATCCTGGGGGTGCTGTTTAAGTGGTGTTGTGATTGAGTACTGGCTGGGAAAGGAGGAGGTTAGCATCCGGACAGGAAGTCTAGGGGAGGGGCTGCAGAGGTCCATGTGCTGTTCTGCAGAAGCAGTTAGAACTGAGCACCGGGCAATTCCTTCAAGCACCTCGGGCCCAGAGTGATCACTGTATATCCCATTTGAAGGGCAGCTACCCCTAGCAGCTGGCTGAGGCATTGGGTCGGTACTGACACCTAAACTCGACTCACTGCCTGTCTCCTATCCATGCCTGCCCCAGCCTCATGCAGCTTAGTTTGGGAGCTCCGAGATTCCAGCCCAACATACAGGGAGTCAGTGGAGTTCCAGCCCAACAACCCCTGTCCCATTTTTCCTGGTGCAGAACTCAGGCTCTTGCTCTCCCGGCTTTGAAGGCATTGACGTCCGCACCTCCTCCGGAGAGCTCTGGATCCTCGGAGACATCTTCATCCACCAGTACTACGTTGTCTGTGACAGGGCCTATAAATCATTGTTGCAAGCAGGGTCCTATGGTTGCACCACGTCTTGTACAGAAGAGGTCAAGTGGGGTATCTATGGAAAGGTTGTAGTTTGCTGCTCATGATTATGCTGTCTGTATGTGTGGATCATTTTTGTATTTGAAGTTATGAATATTGGCTATGTACCTGTATCTCAATGACAGGTTTCAGAGTAGCAGCCATGTTAGTCTGTATCCGCAAAAGAAAAGGAGGACTTGTGGCACCTTAGAGACTAACACATTTATTTGAGCATGAGCATCCAATGAAGTGAGCTGTAGCTCATGAAAGCTTATGCTCAAAATAAATTTGTTAGTCTCTAAGGTGCCACAAGTCCTCCTTTTCTTTTTGTATCTCAATGTGTTTGATTCTAAGTAGCCTCAGTGAAGCATTTTGTCAGCTTCTTGAGAAAGGACTATTCTCAGTAAGTGCCCAATGAAGAAACACTTAACTGATAATGGACTTTAGGAGATGCCAATCCACATCTGAGCTTTCCTGGGAATGTTCAAACGAACAGTAAACAATGGCGTCGGCCTGCAAAAAGCTGAATCATTCATAGACATGGGACTTGCCCAGATGGCTACAAACTCCATTTTGTTGATGTGACTTTGCACAGAAGGACAAAGGGGTTTCCACTCACAAGAGAGAGAGAATATAAAAGGCCCTGGAAGCCTCTCCATTTTCTCTTCAACTGGCTTAAGAGGTGGCCTCTCCACCCCCAAGAGATGCCTCAAAGAAACTGGAAAAAAGGACAGTAACTCCGGGGGTGGGAGTGATTGCTAGACCCAGACTAGGAAGGAGTCCAGTCTGTGAAAGAAGCATATTGGAACATCTCTGAGAGTAAGATTTTATCTGTAATCAGGGGATGAAAGGACAAGATAAAGGAGGAGAAGGAGAATTTAAGAAAACAAGCACTGGTCGAACAATAATTGATTACAGCATGATGGTGCAAACCTCATTGGTCCCAATGAATGAAAATCACTATATGAACAGGGTGCCTTCCCATGAAACATTGGGTTCGTCCTGCCAAGATTTCCCCAGATGCTTCCCCAGAGCATCGTGTCGTGACCGACAGAACCCGGCTCCTCCCTACCCGTGATCAACCTAGCTGGCCTCTAGATTGATCTGGACTCTGGACTGGTAACTATAACATCGATTGGCAGGACAGTGTGTGTGTGGTGTGATTGAATGCATATGCTAATTATTGTATTTCCAATAAATGCAGCATATTGACTTTTCCACTGAAAATGTCCCGTGTGCTTCTTATAAGCAGAACACTTGGGACCCACGTAATGTGACCCACGTAATTCACTGGTGTTCTGCAGAACTGGCACTTATCAATGGAAAGCTTCAGTCCATAGGCCTCCAACCTGTGAATTACTTTAAGAAGTCTTTCTTCGTGCTCCTCTAAGGTTCTTCCAAATACAATCAGATCATCCAAATAAACCAAGACTTGCAGTAAGTTCATGTCTCCCACAGCTTTCTCCGTAAGATGTTGAAATGTGGCAGGTGCCCCAGAAATCGCTTGAGGCATGCGTTCAAACTGATAAAACCCTAAAGGCTGTCTTCTCCTTCTCTTTTGCTCCCAGAGGAATCTGGTAGTGTTCACTTCGAAGATCCAGTACTGAGAACCACTGACTTCCCAGCAAACAGTCTAAGGCATCTTGTACTCGAGACAAGGTGTACTGGTCAATCACAGTACAGCTGTTTAGGGTGCAGTAGTCGATACCCATCCGGCTTTTCCCGTTCTTTTTATGAACCACCACAATGGGTGAGGCGGTATGGGCTGCGGGACTCTGTAATGACGCCATTTGCAATCAACTCCTGATGCAACCTCCACGCACATCTTCCTTCTCGGAAAGAGCAACCTCCTAGAGCTCTCCCTGAAGGGTCAGAAGTCATGTGGTCTGATGTTGTGCTCTACTCCTTTTGCACATCCCACGTCCCACTCATGCAGTGAGAACACCTTGGATCTTTCACAAAGCTTCTTCCTCAGGTGATCCTTCCACTCCTCAGACCGTGGGGAATCTCCAGAGACAAACTTTGCAGGATCTATCACTGAAACTTCAGTTTCACACTGGGGTCTTACAATGGATTCGGGATCTGCAAAGAGATCTGCTATTTTCTGCCCTTGTGTCACAACAACATCATGACTTGTTTCATTAGCAATCAGCATAATCCCCTTTTCCTGGGCTCTGGCAGGTAGGGTTATGACTCCACTGGGGACAAGCACTCCTTCCGGGAGCCCTCCCTCAGCCGGCTGCCCTACCATTGCCAATGTCCCTCTACTGCCTTTCAGCCCGGTTCTCATGACAAGCACTTCTCGCTCCTTGCAGGCACTACTAAGGGGGTCATGCCCACGTACCTCAGTGCCCCCATTGGTAACTCAGACGTCTCCTTTTTAGTGCCCAAATTTTTCTATAGGCTTCAGCACAAAGCGTCTGGATCATCAGAGTGTTTAGATATTGGTCCCTAGCCCATTGTCTGCAGTAATCCGCAAGTACCTTGAAGAGACTGGAGTTGGTCCCTGTCAGCACAGACACATCAGAGATTCCCTTAGGGTCAGGGCACATTAATGCAGTGGAGTCTACCTCTTGTCTTACCCCAGCAACCTCCTCTGGGAATTCCAGGTGCACGATGATGTACCCTGGGCAGGGGTATTCATCCATGCTGAGGCCACACAGACAAAGTCCTGTCAGTGGCTGTATAGGCAGGTGCCTAAGCATCTGTTGGTAGAATGAGTGAAATATAATCGTCACTTGAGATCCAATGTGGAGCACTGCTTTACACTCCAACCCTTCAGTCCTCACCGTGAGCTCTGCTCGAGGCCCTATCAGTCCTGCAGGGATCCCAGCTGGACAGTCTCTTCTAGGGGAGCCTTCAAGTCCTTTGGATCTGAGCGGCCCCCTTCCCCAGACTGTTCGGCAGTTCCTTGACCCCTCCCCACTGATCCTCAGCTTTCCATAGACTAAGGAGGGATTTTCTTCATTACAGCACTTGGCAGCACTGTGCCCATCCTGACCACATCAGTAGCAGAAGAATTCTCCTTTCTCCCTTTGCCCAGGGGGGATGGTGGCTCTAAATGCTGACTTCTCCATCTGGCTGGCGGCTCCTTATGCCTGGAAGTCTTAATTCGCTCAGTGGTGCTTTGCAGCTCAGCTGTCTGTTCTGTCAGGACCTGCATTTGTTGGGCAAGTTCCTCTCTGGTGCTCACCATCAGTAGAGTGGCTGTTCATAGGGGTGCTGTGCTGGCTGGCTCAGACAGTTGGGCTTCCCAAAACACACTGGCAGCCTGCCTTTCTTCCTCCTCTCTGACCTCTTTTATCAGCTGGGAGTAACTCGGGGGAGGTTCCTGCCCTTCTATTAGCCAGAGATGAAGTAGAATCGGGTGCTGACATTGAGATCCTCTTACAGTTTGAGCCAGTCTGGTCTGATCCATCTGCTCAGCAGTTACTGCTCCCCTCTGGACAGCTCTCGGAAGCCGTCTCTCCAGCCTCTGTATATAGGCTGAAACCTTCTCGCTCCTTTGCTGTTGGGAATTAAGGAACTTCCAGTAACTGTCCTCAGAGCCCTCTGTGCTCCCAAAGGTGTGAGCGAGGGCCTCTAGGCAGTCCCTCACACCGACCCCAGGTAGCTTCAATGAGCTTCAGGGTGCAAATCACGTCTAATGCTGGGCCCCTGAGGCTCTCTACTGGACCTCTTCGCTTTTCTGCATCTGGTACAGCCCACTCCTGCAGCATTTCAGTGGCAGGTTCCAACCAGGGTTCAAACGCCTCTTCCCCAGGTATTGGGATGGGACCCCCAGCAAAAAACCTTAACTTACAATAGGAGCTTGATGTAGCGTGGGACAGCACACCCTTTTCCAGTGCTTTTGCCCCATCATCCACAGAGGCTGCAGCCTGGCCACGCAGGGTAAAGCACAAAGCATTTCCCTGATGGAGCAACAGTGACACTGGGTGGCCAGTCGGGGAAATGCACCAGTCATTTCCCCCACAGTGCAGCAGTGACACCCAGTGGACTAACCTATCTGTTAGTCTTTAAGGTGCCACCGGACTCCTTGTTGTTCCAGTGGAACGTCAGGGGAAAGCAAAAAGCATTTCTCTCATGGAGCAATACTGACACCGTGTGGCCAGTCAGGGTAGTGCACAGAGCACTTCTCCTATGGAGCAACAGTGACACCAGTTGGCCACTCAGGGTAAAACATACAGCATTTCCCTGATGGATCAACAGTGACACCAGGTGGCCAGTTGAGGTAAGTCACAAATCATTTCCCCCACAGTGCAGCAGTGACACCCAGTGGAACCTCAGGGGAATGCACAACGCATTTCTCTCATGGAGCAATAGTGACACCATGTGGCCAGTCAGGGTAATGCACAGAGCATTTCTATGGAGCAACAATGACACCAGTTGGCCACTTGGGGTAAAGCACAAAGCATTACTCTCAAAGTGCAACAGTGACACCAGGAGGCCAGTTGGGGGATTGCACAGAGCTGTTCCCCCATGGAGCAGCAGTGACACCCGGTGGCCACTTGGGGTAATGCACAAAGCATTTCCCTCATGAAGCAACAGTGACACCAGGTGGCCAGTCGGGCTAATGCACAAAACATTTCCCTGATGGAGCAGCAATGACACCAGGTGGCCAGTCGGTGTAATGCACAGAGCATTTCCCTCATGGAACAACAGTGAAACTGGGTGGACACCTGGGGGAATGCACCCCTTTTTCCTCTATCTTCCCTTGCTCCCCCCGGCTCAGCCCATCTGCCCTGTGTGCCCATGCCCACTTCCTTGGTGCTTTTGCCCCTGCCCCCTTTTCTGTTGCCCCTGTTCACTACACCCCTTCATGATACCATAGTCCTCCGCTTCCTAGTCCAGCCAGAGGAGCAGGTATCCCTGCTCTGCATCAGTACTTGCGCACCCTCTTCCTTTCCTTGATCAGCTCCCCTGTGCTCCCATCCCATTGGCACCCTCCTCCCCTGCCTGCAGCCTAGTGGGGAGGAGTGATAGGCTTTTATCTTCTGTTTCCCTTCTTCTCCTTCCACCAGTGAAGCCCCCTGCCCCTTGCTAACATGGGGGAAAACTGTGTGTGAAGCCCCTCCCATTGACTCTGTGGTCCCCCTGCCACCTCCCCCGTGTCTCCCAGTGGCTAATCTCTCAACCACCAGTCCAGGATCTGCCACTGGATGGCAACTCCCCCCACCATTTGAGGGGAGCCCCCTCGGCTGGTAAGAAGGGCCAGAGGAATAAAAAGGCATTGCCCCCTATGGTTGGGGATGTCCTCCCCAGATCCGACCGACGCCGATGCTTGCAGAGTGTCCTGGAATGGGCTCCTGATGGTCAGCATGGGCGACCGGGACTGGCTAGAGCTGCCTTTCACTCTGGCAGAGTTCTCGGAAGCCCTCCGTCTCATGCCCATCACTGGAGTTCTACCACTCCAATGACAGTGGAGTTCTACCATGTGTTCTGGCACGTCCTCGGCTCAGACCTTGTCACCCTCTGGGCCGAGTCCTTGGAGAGCAGAGTCCTCGCTCTGTCGTGCAGGTGAACCGTGTTCGCCTTGCTACCCAAGAAGGGGGACGTCTGTGACCTTTGGAACCTTGCTCCTCAGCACAGACTACAAAGTCATAGTGAAGGCCATCTCGCTCCAGCTGGGGTCTGTGCTGGTGGACATGGTCCATCCCAACCAGACCATACCCTTTTTGATAATCTGTACTTGGTCTGGGACCTCTTGGAGCTGGGATGTAGGGATGTCATTCACCCTCCTGTCCCTGGACCAGGAGAAGGCGTTTGACAGAATGGACCAGGGGTATCTCCTGGGCACTCTGTGGGCATTCGACTTCAGGCCCCAGTTTGTGGGGTTTCTCCCAGTGCTGTATGCTGACTTGGAGTGTCTGGTCAGCTTTGAGTGGGGGGTGCGTCAGAGATGCCCAAAGTCAGGCCAGCTGTACACTCTGGAGATCGAGCCCTTCCTATGACTCCTCCACCAGAGGTTGACGGGGTTGGTGCTTCAGGAGACGGAGTTGCAGCTGGCCCTGTTGGCATTTGCTGATGATGTGCTCCTCGTGGTCCAGGTGTGACACTCTGTACCTCGGAGGGACACTCTACACCCCATGTCCATCTTTATAAAATGTTTGTGTGGTATCCAATGCAAAGTTTGTCATGTTGGGTGTCTTCAGAAGACTCATGATGCACTGAGCATGTTTGTTTGTTTATTCTACCTGAAGCAGTGTGTTTGGTTTGCAGTGTGTCAAAGGCTCCCCTTGGGATAACAAGCCTGACACATATCAATTTGTTTGTTAAATTGACAAACTTATATGAGCTTGCAGTGTCGAGCAGCTATAACTGGACACTGTGAGACAGAGGTTCCAAGGGTTGTGTCTGGGACTGGAGATATTGGCTAGTGTCATTCACTTGCAAGTAGCTGGGAGCAGCTGACATGCCAGAGGCTGTGCGTGAACAGCCCAGGAGTGGGGGTTCTCACAGCAGAGCTGGGTAAGGCTAGCTCCCAGAGGCAAGGATTGGAGTGGCCTAGAAGATCACTGGTCTGGATAACACCAGAGGGGAACATCACAGTGGCGCAGCAAGCAAGGGTGTGTGTATGGCTTGTTACTCCAAGTGAAGTTCACACTTTAAACACTGATATTTGTGATTCTAAGTGAGTCTTAAGTGCAGTGGCTAAGAACAGCCAGGAGGAGATCACAGTTTTGACATTTTCTGTTTGCTTATTTCAGGAAAGGGAAGTAGGAACAGAAAAGCAGGAAAATGAGTGAAAGCAGTGAAGCCATTGCAAAGTTGGAGCTTTTCAGGCTTCAGTCTGCAGAAAAGGAGAGAGAGCACCAGAGATGACTGCAGCTGAAAGACCTGGAGATAAAAGAAAAACAAAAAGAAAAAGAGGCAGACAGAGAGGAGGCTGCGCACAGAAGGGCCGTGGAGGCAGAGGCAGCCATACGAACTATGGAAGTTGTATGGGACAAAACAACTTAAAAGTGCCTTCATATCACCCACAGGCCAATGGTTCAGTGGAAAGTTTCAATGGGATTCTAAAATCCATGCTAGGGATGTACACTAAGAAGAGGGGCCAAAATTGGGATGAGTTATTACCATTTCTATTGCATGCGTACAGGGAGGTACCCCAGGAATCCACAGGTTTTTCCCCATTTTATCTTCTGTATGGAAGAAAAATGAGGGGGCCCCTCGATCTCATTAAAGATTCCTGGGAGGGAAACACTGAGGTAAAAGAAGAACCAGTAACTGGATATGTTCAGAGGTTTAGAAAAGAATTAAAAGACATGATGGACATAGTTCAAAGCAATCTCCAAGAGAGTCAATCCAGGCAAAAGGCGTGGTCTGATAAAAAATACTTGTAAGCGTACTTTTGAAATAGGGGATTTGGTAATGGTATTAAGCCCTGCGAAAAAATATAAAATGCAAAACTCTTAGGAGGGGCCCTTCGAGGTAATAGAAGTAGCAAATGAGGACACGTATCAAGTTAAAAAGCCCCTTGATGATGCTGTCCCACAGCTTGTGCATGTGAACAGGCTGAAAGTCTATCATGACAGAGAGACCATAGTAAACGTGATCTGTTGTATGGAAGGGGAAACTGAGGCACATCCATTCATTGATTTGATGGCTGAATGCCAAGAGGGTTCAACTATGGGAAGCGTTGAGCTCTGCAACGACTTGACACCAGCTGAAAGGGGGGAGGTGTTGTCAGTGCTGCAAGGATACAGTGAGGTGTTTTCCAACAAGCCAGGAAAAACACACATGCTAACCCACAAAATCTTTACAACCACCCCCTTCCAGGCCTTAGAGGGCCACTGGTAAGGTACAAGAACAAATTTGTACAGAGATACACAATATGCTGAACCTGGGAGTGATTAAAGAGTCTGACAGCTCTTGGGCATCCCCTGTAGTCTTGGTCCCGAAAAAGGACAACTCTGTAAGATTTTGTGCTGACTATAGAAAGCTTAATGCTGTTACAGTACCAGATGCATACCCTTTGCCTAGGATTGATGACATGCTAGATATACTGAGCAAAGCCAAATAGCTCAGCACCTTTGATCTAATATGGGGTTACTGGCAAATCCCTCTGGATGAGGATGTCCAGAAAAAATCTGCTTTTATCACTGACATCGGCCTCTGTGAATTCACAATGTTACCTTTTGGTTTGGTCAATGCTGGTGCGACCTTCTAGAGGCTGGTCAACAAAGTGTTAAATGGTTTACAGAATTTTGTAAGGGCATACATAGATGACATAGCGGTATTCAGTGACTTATGGGACAATCATAAACAACACCTGGGAATTGTGCTGTCCAAACTCAAGGAGGCTGGTCTAACCATAAAGCCCTCTAAGTGCAAAAGAGGAGCAGCCAGAGTCCCTTATTTGGGACATTGGGTTAGGGGGGAAGACAGATAACCCCTGATCCCCTTAAAGTGGAAGCCATTGTAAATTGGCCTGTGCCCCAAACTAAAAGACAGGTCCAATCATTCATCGGTCTGGCAAACTACTACAGAAGGTTTGCGTGTGAGTTCAGCGACATTGTATCCCCAATCACAAACTTGTGTAAAAAGCACCAACCCAATAAGGTGGTTTGGTCAGCGGCATGCCAGAAGGGTTTTGATATGATAAAGACAATCTTCTCTGGAAAACCTGTACTACCCAGTCCTGACTTTGAAAAAACTTTGAGCTATGTACAGATGCCTCTGACATTGGTGTGGGTGCTGTACTGATGCAGACAGGGGAAGGTAACAAAAAACACCCAAGTGCCTTCTTGAGTAAAAAGCTGTCACCAACGGAACAAAATTTCTCTGTCATTGAAAAGGAATGTTATCTTATGGTGTGGGCAGTTAAACAGTTGAGGCCCTATCTCTTTAATAGAAAGCTTAGGATACTGACAGACCAGTCACCCTTGGTATGGCTAAACAGAACCAAAGTTCACAAACTCCAAACTTCTGTGCTGGGGCCTGAGCCTGCAGGAGTCTGACATGGAAATTATACACGTAAAGGGACGGGAAAACCTGGTAGCAGACGCCCTGTCCAGGAAAGAGGACCCCGGGTGCACTGCCTTTGAGATAGTCAGTGACTAACCCTCTTGCAGTAAACTAAGAGGAGAGGTGTGACACTCTGTACCTCGGGGGAACACCCTACACCCCCATGTTCATCTTTATACAATGATTGTGTGGTATCCAATGCAAAGTTTGTCATGTCATGTCGGGTGTCTTCGGAAGGCTCATGATGCACTGAGCACGGTTGTTATAGTGATGTTATGGTAATTGTTACAGTAACGTTATAGTAATGTCATAGGTTATAATTTCATGTATATAGTTATGAGGCTGAAAATGTATCCTCATGGCTTAAAGCAAGCCCATGCAAAAACTCTCCAGGAGCAGAGAGGCAGATCACACCTCATCAGGGAATGGATGGGACAAACCCAGCCCAACCTCACAGGAACAATGGACACTGGCTTAGGCAGCAACAAAAGAATCTGTTAGACCCTCGAGGGAGTCACCCCCCTTCCTTTGGGCAGTTTGGGACTGCAATGAGGTAATGCTCACCTGACTCTGAAGGGGTGGGGGCAAAGACAAGAGGGAAGAAAGGACAGGATAAAAGCAAGGGACATGCTTTGAGCAGGGGGTTGGACTAGATGACCTCCTGAGGTCTCTTCCAACCCTAATATTCTATGATTCTATAAAAGGGAGAGACATTTTGCCATGATCCCTCTTCTTCCACCTACACCTTCAGACACCACCACCACCAAGCGACTGAAATGCTGATCAAAGGGGAGAGCCTGTCTGAAAAGTAACCAGACAGCCTGTGATGAGAAGCATCTAAGTTTGTAAGGACATTGAAAGTGTTAAGATCAGCTTGGAATGTGTTTTGCTTTTATTTCATTTGACCAAAGCTGACTTGTTATGCTTTGACTTACAATCACTTAAAATGGATCTTTATAGTTAATAAATCTGTTTGTTTATTCTACCTGAAGCAGTGTGTCAGAGAATCCCCTTGGGATAACAAGCCTGATACATATCAATTTCTTTGTTAAACTGATATCTGAGCCTGTGGCTTAACAAGGTTCTTTCAGCTGAGGGTGGCCCCCTCATTTGGGACAGGTTAAACACAGTCCTGATTTCCTGTATTTCTACAATAATTACAACATTGGCAACCATATTTCACTACCCCTGCATTCAGTACTAAGGTGATTTGTACCCAACACCAACCAAAGTTGATCACCTTGACACCGCTGTGTCTGTTAAATATTTAAGCAGAGCAGGAGCAAACTGTATTTACATAAACACACCCAAAGTCTCTCCTCCTCCCAGCTAGCTGTCAGGGAAGCATTCATTCAGACCCTGCTTACATAGGCATCAGACATCTCTACCCAACCTTCCTTCTTGAAACCTGTGATCCATCTTGCTTCTTTGTTGAAAGCTTTCGAGGGGG